CCTTATGGTATTGTTTCTTTGGTTTGCTATCAGCTGTTGATTCCTCAATTTCTCAACTATAATGGTAATTATAGCATTTTGGCACTTGTGTATGAAGTTAATATCATAAATAATATTCAAAGTTAAACTAGTACTCAGTTAAAAACATTTTATTTAGGCCTATCTATGGTCTTCAAAAAGTTGATGACTCTACATGTTTCGATGTTACAACGTCATTCTCAGGAGTAACGTCGAAACATGTAGAGTCGTCATCTTTTTGAAGATCATAGATAGGCCTAAATAAAATGTTTTTTAACTGTGTACCAGTTTAACTTTGAATATTATTTATGATATTAACTTCATACACAAGTGCCAAAATACTATAATTACCATTATAGTTGAGAAATTGAGGAATCAACAGCTGATAGCAAACCAAAGAAACAATACCATAAGGATGAGTCTTTAGGCCCAATTAGATCAAAGTGAATTATAAAGACCTAACCAGACACTGTAAAACAAGAATTAACTGGACTTATGAGGCAAACTCCAGCTGAGAATACTCTATCTACTCCATATGAGAGAATAAGTTTATTATTTAAAGAAACCAATCGAAGAGTTCATGGGTTTATTAATGAATCACCTTGCAGGATGTTGATTAACACTGGTTTTATAGCTACGACATGAGTTGATAATGAAAGTGAGAAACTTCCTCCAGAGACGAAGAAAAAATTAATTGATGCAAACAGTAAGTGGATATAAAGTTCCAGCAAGAGGAAAGTTAGAAGTTATCCTTACTGTTGGAAATTTCTATACACCCCATGAAGTTTGTGTAACTGATATCGAGGAGTGCATATTGTGAATTGACTTCATGCAGTCACACAGAAGCAAGAGTAGGCTAGCTTCAGTCAGTATACTAGAGATTGAATTTCCAGTGACAACAAGAAGGACAATAATTATACTACCAAGAAGTGAAATATTCAAACCAGGACTTCTTATGAATAAATTAACATCTAGTGGCTGAAGCACAGTATAACCACAAACTCCAGCATATCTGAGGGGTTATTGGTTGGAAGCAATTTCGTGGATCTGAAGAATGAAGATGTTATCATTAGAACCATGAACACAACAAACCATGAAATTCAAGTGAAGTATGGATTGGACAGTACAAGATATGAAGCTGTACAGGTAGTATTTCCACATCCAAGTACATTAGAAGTGGTCATCTTTAAGGTAGGAAGTCGGATGTCAAATCCTCACATAAGGACAATTTACCACCTCATTTACAAGAGTTGTATGACCAGAGATGTGGAGGTATTACAACTGATGTATGCCATAGACCACATGACTTGTTCACGGAATATCAAGATATCTTCTCCAAAGATATTCTCATAGCTTAGAATGAACAAATATAAAATATCATAAGATTGATAATGGATATGTAGTCCAAATAGATCTGACAGCCAGACGACCCTAACTTGTAAAACAGGCTGAGGCTGTCAAAGAGAGAGAGAAGTCATTAAAGAGCATCTATCTTCTGATGGAATGGTTGAGAGATGCAACTACACACAGTTAAATCGATCATCTATGTATGCGGATGAACATAAAAAAACGTGAGATCAAGATCTTCCACGGTTACTGATGAATTATCGTACAGTAGTACATGAAGCTACAGGCAACACATCAGCATCACTTACATTTGGGAGAGAACAGAAAGTACTATTGGACCTTCTGTATTCTCGTTTGAAGAACAGTCACACGGAAGAGCCTTGCACAGAATATGTAAAGAGATAAAGAACACCATTATTTTTGTAAATACCATATTTCTCGTATTAAATACACCCCTTCATCTTTTTGTCTTGTAAGTAAGGAAAAACAAGTAAAAGGGCGAATATACTAGTAAGCCTTTGTAGTTTATGATGCAAGCCTTGAGCAAGTAATATAACTAAGTAATAGCCCTCAATCGAAACAAAGGCTGGGTTTGTTGGTTTAAAAAAATTGCGCAAAGCTACTCAAGGGCTATCTGCACTAGCCGTCCCTCATTTAGAAATGATAAACTAGAGGGAAGGTAGTTATTCAACACCACCCTCTTACAAATCTTGGGCTACTCTTTTACCAAAGAAAAGTGGAGTTGACCACCACAATATAACGCCCCCACTGTTGAAAGGGCGAGCATGTTCAGTGACCGGATTCGACTTTGTATAGCATCAGTTTTTTGTTACGTTACGAAATATGTTATTTTACAAAGTTAAAAACATAAAAATATACAGATTTTATGAATATCACATTTAAACGAACAATATCAATCATAGATGTTTGTTAATGAATAATTATAAAAAAATGAAAAAACAAACACAAACTACAGGTTTATAACGATCAGGCTCAAAATATTTGTTTTCTAAGGTTCTTTGATTCAGACAGTTACTGTAACACATAGATAAAAGATATTTATATATCTCAACAATACTTCAATAGTCAAATGAAATCTCTGGTTATTTTGTTGCTTGGATTATGACAAAGTGTATGTAAGTTTTACTGATCTAATTATAAAATCGGAGTACTTCTGAATAATTAGATCTGCTCTAAAAATAAAATATTCTTAGATTCAGTTTACACGACAACAACAGGTTTCTCACTCTGACGACCAATCCTTCTATGTCTTGATCATATCTCAGGGTAAAGTGGATTCTTCCACATGGCTTTCCATGTTCTCCGTCTTCTTCCAGTGTACTGTTACTTTCAGTGGACGCCTTCCGCCCCAAATCTTTCTTGTAGAGCTCTGGTTTGATCTCTCCGACAGACGGCGATTCACGAGTTGCTTTGTTACAAACTATAAATAAAAACAACAACGTTTTCTTCTTACGAAGTACTATGTGAAATGGACACGGTTTGTAAATAGATATTTGGCAATTTTATTTAGGAATTAATAACTAGGTTTTTCATATGTGGCTTTTAAAGAATGCACAAGGCAGCAACTCATTTGTTTGCACAAGTTATCCGACATCTGCTTCCAACTAAACAGTTACAATAACATAATAACTGTGTAATTTAATTCTATGGTTGCTAATGTTTTAAAGTTAAATACGCTGTAGAAATAAAATAAAGTTCAAGCAAAATATCAAAAACTTTAATATTTCAAGACAAAAACATATATCATGACTAAACCTCTATAAGTTCTGATATTAACAAAGAATGATACGAGATTTTCATTTAGTGGTGAGTCAGAGTAGAGCTCTTAATATTTTAAAATACAGAACAGGATATTAATTCATTTCTTACTGAAAACCTTCCTGTGTGTTTGGGGGGGGGGAAGATAATTAGACGAATAGTACTGTTTGTTTGATTTAGAATTTTCGCGCAAAGCTACACAACAGCTGTCTGAGCCTAATCACCTCTAATTTTGAATAGATAAACTTAAAGAATGAACAACAATACCCACTACTAACTCCTGGACTACTCTACTCTGACCAAAAAGTGAGATTTGATAGTTGTTATTACAGCATAACAAAGGCCACAATGTGCAAAGCACGTTTATTATTATTTTATTTTACAATAGGACGCAAACCATGAACCAGGCCAGCTAATCATTAAGCAACAAGGCGACTAGAAGTTAAAATTCACGAAAGATATAAGCAGGTGTGAAAGAAAAAAAAAACAAGGTCATAAGAAAGTATAAAAGTACAAAAATTGTTTTATATTGCCAAAATTTGCGATTTATTAAGACAATGTCTAAAATAAACTATAAACTGAACAAAATTCCAAAGTGGACGGTTTTAATTCTATTCGAATAATGTAAAATCATTGGATCCTCTCTTCCCTCTCCATTTAGATACAAAAACCTTGTATACATTTCAGGTTATTTACATCTTCAATACTAGAATAGACTTCAGTCTATCCCAAGTTATTCTGTATATTATACACACATATATAAACATAAATGTCGTCTCCTCTCCCTCTCCCCTCTTCCCGAACGTTATATTAGTGGTATATGAAATAAGTTAATCCATCAGAGCCTAAAAAGCACATTCGGTCTGTACTTAACTTCAGTTCTAGCGGCACAAACAGATGAGAATTATGACACATTTCTAATGGACAGGATACCAACCAGTCCATCTTAAATTAATCCCAGCTATTAGCTAGTATTCATTTTACAGTTGGCAAACTGAAGCAAATATGTGGTAAAATATCTTGCAATAAAAGCAGTGTAAGTTCTCAAATTTTTTAAAGAGTGCTTCCCAATTAACAAGGAAGAACTGAAATCCATTACTCGTTTCTTTGCAAAACATTTTATTTTCCGATCTTAATAACACCCCCTATCGATTAATTTTCCGAATATCAATCAAGTTTTACTCTGACGAAGACTAAATCCGTTTCAAAATTTTACCCAACACAAAAAACTACATCAACTACAATATCCAGTTACATTTCACAGGCCTGGCATGCCCAGGGGTTAGGGCGCTTGACTCACAATCTGAGGGTCGCGGATTCGAATCTCTGTTCCACCAAACATGCTCGCCCTTTCAGCCATGGGAATGTTATAATGTAACGGTCAATCCTACTATTTTTTGGTAAAAGAATGAACTGGCATAAATTTATATACCATTAAATGAGTCATTGCAGGCATAAAGTACACTATGTTAGTAACATGTTAACTAGATTGATTGATATAAATTAGGACTGATACGATACGATAGTAGTCGATACGATACGTATTTAGATATTGATGTCCCGATACGATATAGAAGTTTTACCAACACTTTTTTTTACAAATTTTGACAGACTTATCTGTAATTTATTACCTATATTACTAAAATTGTCCTGCTACAATTTGAAGTAATTATATAAAGAAAAAAAATGATAATTTTGATTTATTTTGTATTTTTATGGAGGTTACGAGGATGGTCAAACTGACCGATTTCACATCAAATTAGGGTAGTGAATATAGCAGATAAAATATGAAGATCTATCGAAAAACAAGTTGGATATTTATTTGGAGGTTTTAAAGATTACACAAAAGAAATTTGTTAATTTTCAGATGGAGAAAAGTATTTTCAATCTTAACATGAAAAATAACTTTACACACGAAGCAGTGACTACTTTGACTCTTTATATTAAAATACCAGCGAAAGTACTCTGTTTCGCTCGGGTTATTGGGTTGATAGTACATCCTGAACCTATTTTAGCATATAAGTATAACCTATATACTTTTGTTTCTAAGCAATATGATATAAAAGCCATTGTTGGAACGCATTGTTACCAAAACGCACTTACTTTTTATATATTCGAAGCCGTTATATAAGGAACCATTTCTTTTCTATGTGGTTTTTCGCTAGCTTGCCTCATTAAAAAGATGCGCATGCGCGCACGCACATGGATAAGTAATAATACCCAGTTGCATATCCTCAGGGTCCACTTGGTATGTACGCACAATTTTAGGTTTCTAGGTCCTTTCCTCTTGGAGCTATGGCGGTCACACATACACAGTCACGCACATATGCACACGCATGCCCGTACGCACACACGCGCGTGTCTGCTTGTCTGTGATTTCTATTTGTAATATAAGAAACCACTTCTTTTCTTTCTGGTTTTTCGCCAACTTGCCTCATTAAAAAGATGCGCACGCACGTGGACAAGCTAAGTAATAATACCAAGGTGCATACCATCAGAGTCCACTTAGTATGGGTGCAAAATTTCAGGTTTCAAGGTTTTTTCCTCTTGGAGTTATGGTGGTCACACATGCACAGACACGCACGTGCGCACACACACACATGTGTGTCTGTCTGTGTCTATCTATAATATTAAAAGGGCATGTCTTGTCTGTGGGTCTGTGTGTGTGTGTGTGTGTGACTGTCATAACTCTAAGAGTGAAGATACATAAATCGTGTCGTATCGGACGATGTATCGATACAGTCGTATCACGCCTTCACAATACGATACTCGTATCGTATCGCTGAATTGCGCCACCCATAATATAAATGTACATACCTTGAAGTAGTACTTTGCGAATATCAACGTTAACCAAATTAACTTCAAAAGAGACATGTAAATATCAAATACACTATATATGTTATTAATATGTACATATCATCAAATAGGAAGTCACGGATATTAGTAAATATATAAATATTATTTTATTTGTTTGTGAAATTTTGCGCAAAGCTACTCGAGATCTAGTTGCACTAGCCGTCCCTAACTATAAAGTGGTAGACTAGATGGAAGGCAACTTTTGGGCTATTCTTTTATCAACAAATAGTGTGATTGATCGCTACATTATAACGCCCCCAAATCTGAAAGGTCTGGCATGTTGTGTGAAAGGATTCGAACCCGTGACTCGCATATTGTGAGTTGGATGTGTTCGGGCTTTAAGTATTATTGACACGTTAACAAAGTTTATATAAACTCATACATCTTCAAATGTGGCATCACAGTTATTAGGTATACTCTATGTAAATATTATTAACACATTAACTAAATAGACTGATATAAACATATATACTTTCAAACGGAACGTCGCAGATATGCAGCTGTCTTTGGAAAGTTTGGTGGCGTGTTGGAACACTTGGTAAAGTTGCTTGACGTGTTGGAGCTGTTTTCTTGCAGTGAACTTGTTTTTGGAGTTCTTCCTTGATATCTGGTAGACTGTGACTTATTTTCAATGAGGGGGCGCTACTGGGCTCTGTTGAATGTAAAGTTGTGGTCACTAGAGCGGCGCTATTGTCGTTGGCCGAGTGATTTGGCTGAAGAATAGAGACTAACCACCGATAGCTAAAGTACGTCATTATGCCCACTACAGCGACTGCCAGGATAATCAATACAATAAGAAATTGAGATACAGTTCTATGCCCGGCATCTAGAAAAAAAAATATGCATCATTTTACAGTGATATTGATGAATTGATATAAATATATATATACAGGTTGAGTCAAAAGTCCTGGTTTTCTCTGTTGTCGGAAAGTAGGTATGTTACCTTATATGATGTCATAATAAAAAGGTCAGATCAAGGTCAATCAAATGCTGTCTCTGAAGCTACCAACCTGAGATAAAATGTGTCAACGCAAAAATTTTAGCATTTGGATGATCTTGATTTGACCTTTATATCATATCATGCCGCCAATGGGCCTAAACACCTTATGTCGGCATATTTTTTGACATTCCACACCAAGTACAACAGAAAAAAAATCATCATTTTTAATTCACTCTGCTAAACTTACATTTTGTCCATTATACTTGTACTAGTAAGTTTTATAAATTTTCAAAGACAGATTATATTTTCTATCTCATGTCTTTAAGATACTGTCCTTAGATGTCTAAACATGCGAATAACTATATATACTGTATCTATATATATACATATAATTAGACAGATCACAAATATATTAATGTATATTAATCCAGATCCATTTATATTGGTTAAAAACAATAACATAAAAATACAGTATTCCTGGGTTCTGGTTTTTCCTAAGGTCTTTATTTTGAAAAGTATATAATATGGTTCAGAAACTACTTAACTATCGTTTTAGTGGTAGCTTCTATCAACGGGTCAGTAAGGTCAAGAGGTCGTAGATTGGATTTTGTGGTCAATAAAAAGAGTTATTATGCTGGATCACTCACAGAAGATAGATAACATTTGAAGATAGATAACATTTACTGTGTTTAGAGTTTGATTGCTTCTTACTAGAGACAGATAAGTTTTACTGTATTTTCTTTGATTGTTCTTTACTAGCGACAGATAAGGTTTAACTTGTATTTATTTGTATGTATTTACTTTACTTATACGTAAGGTTTTAACGTTATTAGTTATTTTACTTAATTACGTTACCCG